GTTATATTACATGAGGTATATAGGACATTACATTTATATAAAAGAGAACATTAGCTATATTACAATATATTTAACAATTATTCGCCGAAGGCGAGGTGATTATCGGGGAATATGATAAGTAAGTGATTATCGGGGAATATGATATGAGTTATAAGTCATAATGACGAGTTATAAGTCGTAATGACTAGTTTTTGTTATTTGTATTTTATTGATAATTTTATTCATTTTAGTCTTCGCATGAATTTGGTGTCTTTTGTAAACTATGTTCTGATTCTGGGTAAGACCTGTATTATTCCTGAATTAATTTTTGTGTATGTTTGATTTCGATTTAATTTTATTTTACTGTTTTCTTTCAATAGAATTCCGTATTATGTCTGTCCTGGAACAATGAGCTGGACTAGGTAATCTTTAGCCTACGAACAGGCTCTCATTCAAAGAGGCCTGTTCGCAGGCTAGGTAATCTTCAACATTTACAACTTAAGACTATGAACAGTTGACGTTCTGACTTTGTTATACTTAATTCCACTAGTCTGGTCGGAGCAGACAGCATTGACTTAATCGATGATGCAGTACAAACCGCTGTTCATTATAATGCTCTGGGTATTCTGATTACTGACTGGTCAGCATATGGTCACATGTCTCCGTTGGAGGTCAGCCTGCCCGCATTTGCAGCTGGTGGAGCACTTTCTTGGAATTCGAAAATTAAACAGGTTTGTCGATTTCGTGTTTCTAACTTCTCCATCGTTCTATCTATTTCAAATGTTATCGTCTGTCATACATGAACAAACACGAACAGGCTTTGCCCTTTGCGAGGGCTAGGAGGCGTGTGCACCCCCCCCCCTGCCTTCTCCAGTAAATCAATTCCTGAATTTCAGTCTTCAAACCTGTGGGTGAAATTTGATGGTGCTAATTTTGCGTGATTAAAAGGATATAGGAATTTCTTTACTGTACAAAACTTGTTACAACTAGGTTACTTGGAGAGCTTAATAGTGAGGGTGTCGCCCCGTCCCCCTCCTAATAGTGAGGGTGTCGCCCCGTCCCCCTCCTCCCGCCTCTTCCTCCCCCTTCCATCTCCCCCCCCTCTCTAGTGTCCGCTATTGATTTTAATAAACCATTTGTTTCTCTGGCATTAGGAAAGCGTGGTATCGTCACTTGGCAAAGTCTTGGATGTACACGTATTTCAAGATGAGGCAGGAATTACAGGACATGTTCTTCAAAATCTAATCCAAGTTTCTAAAATGCTCGAGACACGTCCAATACACGTCGAAAGCGATGAGATGCAGAGTGGTGTTTATCCAGAAGGACAGGCTGAAGATGCCAGTCCGTTACTACAACTTTTCTTATTTCCAAATAGTGTGAATGTTAACAACCTTGACATTGACAACGTACAGGTATGTATAACATTTAGCATGCCACTTCTTCGGGGTATAATTCCAAGAAAGAGCCTGGGTACGAGATTGGTATAATTCTTGCAATACGCAGTTGTCTGATCGCAGGTTTTCTCCTATTGGGATCCAGTGAGCTCCATATATAACTGGAGCGAGAATTCGAGTCCAAAAAGTGAAGCCATCTTCGTGTTAACCGCGCAGACAAAAACAATAGAGAGGGACTGGAACTGACGTCCAATAGCTCCTTCAATTGCCGCCATCTTGGCAAGGAGTGCGCCGAAATTTCGTATTTTTACTTCGATTTAGTATTATGATTTTATGAACTAAAACGGTCCTTAGAATCAGAAAAAAATTGGATTTAGGAGGGAAAATTTGTATAAAAACTGTTTACGACCTTCATAGCTATTGGACGTCAACGGCCGCCTCTTGGTTTCACTTTTCTCATAGGTCGAAACACTGAAGTTCTTGCTCCAGATATATGTAGAGCTCACTGTTGGGATCTTGCAAATGACGTCACAACACGTATTTGTTGACTTCCGCCATTTTGGGTGACAAATTAAAAATAGTTAATTACAAGCAAACGTTGCTTTTGTTTGAGTATTTAGAAAAGTTATAATGGTCACAGCTGTGTAGTAGCCGGTTGAATAAAAGAATTTTGTCACCCAAAATGGCGGATTATTTTTGATGATACGTCATATTGCAATACCTGCATAGTAACACTGGATCAACATAAGGGATGGTCCTTACTGGACCTCCACAAAAAAACACATTAGAATTGCTAGTATAATAGTTAAGTTTGTAACAAGCCATACTGTTTGGATCTCAGCTCACAGAAAATGTGACAATGAAAACCAGTAGCATTCCAGTTTCATTCCAGATTTCCAGTAGCATTCCAGTGGCATTCCAGTGGCATTCCAGTAGCATTCCCGTAGCATTCCCGTAGCATTCCCGTAGCATTCCCGTAGCATTCCCGTAGCATTCCCGTAGCATTACAGTAGCATTACAGTAGCATTCCAGAGTAACATAACAGATATTTCATTGATTTAGAAAGCGTCACGGTGTTTACGAAAATGTCAAGCATCGTTAGCCAAAGCTCAAATGAAATGCCATCGAGCATCAACCACTGTGAAAGTACTCAACTTGATTTTGGACATGGCTTTGTATGCTTGCAAGTTGGTAGTATTTTTTACTATTTGATTTTTCATGTTTGTTATCGTACTTATGCATGCACATAGTACGCCCAGATAATAAATCGGATAAAAACTATAATTACAATCCGTTTAATTTCTTATCAGAGTTGGACGTGCCTTCGTTCTTGGAAAAAGCGATAAAAATTCAGAATCGGGATTCACAGCTACTTCAAGTTTGCCTAGTATAACAAGAACTGATCTTGCTAACAGGTTAGTTCTATACAACCAAAATTACAACCAAGTTGTTATTTCTTGCCAAAGAAATCGCGGGCTCGGGGAACGAGATTGATTTCTTGTACACACGTAAAAATCTCACAATTTGTCAACAAGATGTGTTCGCAACAGGTTTGTGGCAAGCTTGTCAACGAGTTGTAACCATGCTGTTATTTTATCAAGTTGCTACAAGGTTGTCACTCACAACTTGTTGACAAATTGTTGAATTGCAGGACGATAACAAGTTGTTGAAACAACTTGTAACAAGTCTGTTGAGCTCAACAACCTTGTAGCAAGTTGCCAACTTGTCAACAAGCTGGGAACAAGCAGTACGAAAACATCCTGTTGACAAGTTGTTGGAACAGCATTGCTACAAGTATGCTGCAAGTTTGTTACAACTTGTGCGTTTTTACGTCTGTAATATGCAGTTATGTGATTATAATCACGTGTGAGCCGCATGTGAAAGGTGTGCTTCCTGTTTGACTCAACCAGACATAACAGGTTTTCTCATAGAAATAATAGATATAAAAGACGTTTTATCTCTTTCCAGTAAACGTTTTGTTCCCACAAAATGGCGGATTATCTTCGTTCCCAGGGCTTCTTGGCTGCAAGGCAGTCGAGAAATCCTGGGGACGAGCATGATGGCGGAATTATAAGGCATGTTTGACTCGTCCCAATCTCAACTGTTTTAAACTGAACATATTCTAGTAGGCGTTTTTATGAAAACAATTCGTCCAGACTCCAGAATACATTATGTGCAGAAATCATTATTTCTTTGGATTTTCTCCACGGGTATTCCTCCTGTAGTAACACTGACCCAATAAGGGAAATCTGGAGCGCTAGGGAAACCACTTTAAAGATATGTATTATAAATAAAGTTTAGTTTCGGTTTCTTCCTGTAGTAACTCTGGATCAACAGTGTCAGAGAACTGATAGAACTATGTATTATAAAGAGAGAAGGCAGACGAGCAATGCAAATAAACTATACTATGATATTTATAGTTTTTAACATATATTTCGATGTTTTCTCAGGCTTTTAGGAATAATCGAAAACCATCGCCGAGTTTGGTCTCTAAGTAACAAACCTGGTGGAGTGGAGGAATCCGTGAAAGCATTGCAGAAAGTTTTTGACGAAATTGTACCATCCTCAACACTTACTGTCTAACAGGAACTAATTCTTAATTTTATTTATTTGCCTCTGTCACGAGGCGTTTATTCGCCTCTAAATAACAGAAATTGTACTAAATGTGAAAAATAGGAACGGTAATTTTAACGCAAGATGAAGATCTGTGAAGTCAAGTACATGCAGGCGAGTTAAACGCAAACATAAGAATAAACAAAGGGGGAAACAGGGTTAGCTAGTGACGTGTAAAACGTCGACAAAATCACAAGAATAAGCACATAAATTTTTAGTGTTTGTTGAATTAACCTTTCGCACGCTCGGTTTATCCGCCATTTTTGCATTGGTGTGGTCATTACTTCGAAACTCTCTGTTGCTTCGCTATTAAACGAGGACTAAAGGCTCATTTCCACTCAAGAAAATTTTCCGCAGAATGAAAATTTTGTAAAATGTGATTGGCCGACACAAATTTTCCGTCGGAAATTTTCAACTTTTAACAATGATATTTTCGGAAAATTTTCTGTCCGTGGAAATTTTTCTTGAGTGGAAATGGGCTTTAATGCACACATGTTATCATGAAGCAGTCAGACTAGTTTAGTGTACTTCTCAGGACAACCAATTTTCAACAGAACTAGGCTTTTTTAGGTGTATGAAAGCTATGTAAAAGTCTTCTACATTTCTCTTGTGTTTGTTGTGGGCGAAATGCGACATTTTATCGCTGTAGTTGTGTGTATGATGGTAAATTTACAGTTACAACGTTGAAAAGTCACTTTTCACATTTGTAATTTCCTAGATTCTTTGAAGAGGAAAAACAGTACTCCAAAAATTATAGATATTGGCCCGCGCGAGAAAGGCTAATTTAGGCATACGACCTGATAGCAAGCCATACAAAAACGATAGAGTCGTAGAGATGCTTAACATATATGACTTTTGCACCTCCCAATACACCCTTTCGATAATTACGTCACAACTACACTGTTCTCAACTTAGGGCCACCTTAAATGAAAAGGATTTCAAGGTTTTTTTTCTCATGGGCTATGCACAGAGAAGCAGAACATCCTTCTTCAACACATGCGCGATAAAATTTTGGATTTTGATCAATAAATATGGAAATAAGCATTAACACGAAAACGAGGCTCCAGGTCATGATCTGGAGCCTCGTTCTCGTGTTAAAGCTGATTTCTACATTTATTGGTCAAAATAAAGAATTCTTTTTCATGCATGTGTTGAAGAAGGATGTTCTACTTCTCTGTGCATAGCCCATGAGAAAAAAACTTGAAATCATTTTCATTTAAGGTGGTCCTAAGTTGAAAACAGTGTAGTTGTGACGTAATTATCGAAAGGGTGTATTGACTGAACATTGCCTCATAGTCGTTCTAATTGTAATTAACGATTCAATTTTGGGCTGACCCTGTTCCAATGTGATATAGATACACTAAATAATCCGAAATAGAAAGTGCTGAAAGTCGTACGTCATAATTACAATGGTCACAATACTGTAAATTTCTCAACATTACTGGACATTCAGAAAAACAATTTAAAGTCGAATTGAATGTAGTTAGTATCAAACTGTTGTATATTTATTTTCAATATTTAATTAACAAGTATAATTAATAAATGTCACTATATTTCTGGCTCAATTTTCTGATTATTAACAACTACTACAAGTATAGCCTGCTTATTTATTTATTTATTTATTTATTTATTTAACTTCGCCATTATCATGCATTCATGGCAGGGTCACCACAACAGTATGGTACCAATTACTGTGAGACTCGCATCTTGTAGCAAGTCTGTCAACAAGTTGTCTTCGCACTGCTTGTCCCAAGTTGTCAACAAGTTTGGAACAAACTGTTAACAACTTGTAACAACCGTGTTGATATTATCAGACTTGTTGCAAGGTTGTTCCAACAAGTCTGATACAGTCATGATATAATAACAATGTTGCTACAATCTTGTGTCGTCAACCTTGTAACATTCTTGTTATATCATGACTGTATGAGACTTGTCAGAACAACCTTGTAACAAGTCTGATAATGCCATCGATCTTGTTATAAGTTGTTAACAGCTTGTGCCAAACTTGTTACAACAACTGGGAACAAGCAGTGCGAACACAACTTGTCGACAGCTTGTTAACAGATTTGTAACAACTTGTTTGCAGACCTGTAACAACTTGTACGTTTTTACGTGTGTACACACGCAAAAATCTCGCATCTTGTAGCAAGTCTGGCAACAAGCTGTCAACAAGTTGTGTTCGCACTGCTTGTCCCAAGTTGTCAACAAGTTTGGAACAAGCTGTTAACCAACATGTAAAAGCTTGATGGCATTATCAGACTTGTTGCAAGGTTGTTCCAACAAATCCGACACAGGCATGATATAACAATATTGTTACATCCTTGTGTCGTCAACCTTGTAACATTCTTGTTATATCATGACTGTATCAGACTTGTTAGACCAACCTTGTAACAAGTCTGATAATGCCATTAACCTTGTTACAAGTTGTTAACAGCTTGTTCTAAACTTGTTACAACAGCTGGGGACAAGCAGTGCGAACACAACTTGTCGACAGCTTGTGAACAGATTTGTAACAACTTGTTTGGCATGTTTGCAGACCTGTAACAACTTGTGCGTTTTTACGTGTGTAGTTCTCACGTATGCGAAGAGCGCTCAATCAGTCAATCATGATATCAACACCATACCTAATTTTAGTGTGCAGTGATAACCAATTTGTGCAGTGATAAAAGTAAAATGTGCAGTGATAAAATGTAAAATGTGCAGTGATAAAATTTGCTTTGATAAGTTGTTAATTAACACAAGAGAATGATTCAATTGAAATTGAAATGACTGCCAAATTAGCGAATTAAATAATAGTATATGTTTTTTGTACGAAAATCATGAGATTCAGGCAATTTTTAGTTAATATCTGGCTTTTGGTATGTCCGCCAAAAAATTTTTGACCATTAAAATGGTACACTGACCAAAATTTTTTTGGCGACGGGGGGGGGGGAGGTCGCCAAAAATTTCCGAATATTCTGAAATTTTCTTAGTCATTCGGAAATTTTTGGCATAAAATGTGCAGTGATAAAAAATTCTTAAAATTAGGTATGATCAACACTGGGTCTTGGACACGCGTGTCTGGGGGTCAAGATTTGGCTTCAAGAAAAAGATGGGCAGTTTATCTGAAGGTAGCATTCCAGTTATATTCATTTCAATGCTACAATCTCGTTCTTGGGCTTTTTATGACCACAAGCATTGATCTGAAAGTACAACGGGATTGAGTATCTGCCGGAATTCAGTCAGACCATAGTAGCCCAGGAAATATGTGTATTCACTTATAAAAATGCATTATTAAACGCTTACAGTAAAAATGCGCATAAAGTTCGTCTTGGTTTGACTTTGTCATCAAGCAATGGTCGTGGCTAAAGCGGCCGGATGGACTAGAGGCAGGTTTTTAAGACGGCCGCCAGTTCGAGTAAGATCATTAAAACGTAAAAGAATCAACAACCAGTCACTTGCAAACTAAACAGACATTCCAACTCTCCCGATTTTACCGGGAGTCTCCCAAAAATTCATGCAATCTCCCAGTCTCCCGATTTTTATCAAATTCTCCCAATTTTTCAGAATATTCAGGAAATATCATTAAAAATTATAAATATACTGTTTTTAGCAACATAATAGTCTGTCTTGACCTTTTTTGAAGTTGCTTTATGGCAATTTATAGGATCACTTATGACAACATAGTCCCAAAATACAGGAAACGCCATTTCAGAAGACTTAATTTTTATTATTTTTTTCCCAGAAGAACTAGATTTCAATTCACTGAACAGTCTCCCTAAATTTTACCTCCAGTGGTTGGAATGTCTGACTAAACCTTACCCTTACCCTCACGCACTGATCTAGATCAGTGCCCTCACCCCACATCTAACCCTAATCGATCCTAACTCCCACATTAGCCCTAATACTAACGCAAACTCTTCTTTCAATTTTGGAACAATGGAACCATCTCGACGGATCCTTTTAGACATACCTTTATTACGCCCTGGACATACCTACCTCATTATATATGCAGATTCCAATGTTTACGTCATTATGAAAATAAAGATACATCGCTCGTAAAATCTCGGAAGTCGCTTGGTCACAACAAAATTGGACAAAATTCAAAAATATCGTCAAAACCAGTGCTCTCACTTTTAAGGAATTATCCTTAAAAATAGGAATTTTGATGAGTTTTAAGGATTTTTTTAAGGAATTTAGGTTTTTGAGGATTTTTTTAAGGAATTTCCGAAACATTTTATCCTGGACTAAAAACGTTGGACGGAGGATGGATAACCACGCCACGCAAATGAGATTTAAACTTGAAAGTAGCAACATTATACGCACATAATTAGGGGAGCTAGGGGGCCCTAAGCCCCCCCCCCCCAATAATTTTGAAAGACTGCAAAAATCTTGTACCAAATAACACAAATCACACTCATATAACGTAATTGTTAACATAATATAATAGTATATGTTTCTGTACATGGCTTGGCATGTGATTTATAACAAAACGCGCCATTAATTAAAACAGTGTTTTGAAACCCTAGTTTTTTACAAAATGTGTTCTCAGAACGCTGCAAATACCATTTCCGGGATTCAAATTTTAAAGTGTAAAGTGGTCTGCCACTGGTCTTTTCATTAAAATTCTCAAAAGTTAAATGTCAGTATATGCTGTTTCCTCTGAAATCTACAGATTTTTTAAGCTCTTCATGCAGCAACGATCACAAATACATCATGTTGAATGTTTTCTTTATGGCATTATGTTAACAATCAAATGTTTTCAATTGTTAGTGCTTAGAAACAAGGTTATAAAAACTGAAAAACAGAAGAAAAAAACAGGCCTTGTGGTAATTTTACCAATTTAAGGAATTTTAAGGAAATCTGAGGAATTTTCGAGTTTTTTCTAAGGAATTCGAAAATTTGATTGTGAGAGCACTGGTCAAAACTGTTTTGATTTCTGCACGTGATAAAGAAGAAATGAAGACGGTCTACACGAATGATGTAATACAGGACTAAAACAAAACTACAGAAGGTGAAAAATGCCGAAGATTTACATCTACATTTGTGCTGTCTGATTCAAGCTGTCTGTAAATACATCTACAACTTGGTATGTTTCGAATGTGCAACGTGCTGCCTCGCGCTTTGATAGAAATTTTGTAAAAAGAACGAACTTTTGGTGGTTTCAATGAGCTCACTTGAAAGCGAGATAAACCCACGTATATTGAAAGAAATCTGGCAGGATTATTTGAAAACCAGAGATGAAAAGGTCTGTTTAGTGTAGTATTATTAATATTTGTCATAAAAATTGCAATCATGCAGAACAGTCGATCGAATATTATGTTTATGTTTCAAGTGATTTTGGATGATTTTGTACCTAGATTAAACTGAGTTATATTGTTCTTGTTCTTAGGAAAAAGAAAAAAAGCTTCATCAGTTTCTTGGGGAACTAAAAGGCTATGAATTTTATGAAGGAAGTCAAATTTCTGTTGACAGGTATGAACGTGCATACATAATTTATACACAAAATTGCTGATAATGTTAATATTACCATAAAATATTAACTTTATTAGTTAATGGTTAACTCATTAATGGCTGTAGACTTTTTAAATTCTGACTCGGATCACCACATGCATTGAAAATCATCGGAAACTGAAATGAAAACACTGTCGGACAAAGAAAATCCATAAATTATATGCACTGATAATTATAACACTCCCAATATTGCTACGTTGAAATTGATTCCTAAAAAATGAGCATGCGATGGCAAATTGGAACTCAGAATAAATTCCTTTGCCCTCTTTGGTTGAGTTTTTAAAATAGATATCTTTGTATTGTGTTATTGCATTGCATGTTATGTGATTTAAGAACTGCAGAACAGAATGTAATTATAGCTGGAACGTGCTTATAAGACAGAATTACGTCACTATAGTTATCTACACCCCCCCACGTAAATAGTCTAGATAATTCCCAGTTCCACAGGTCTCAAGTATTGTAATGCAATCACACCATTCTATAGCATTCTAATTGTTCAGGTTACATTTTTTAAAGGACCTTTGCCTAAAGTTGAAACATCAGATCTTGCTTGTTTAAAAATTAAACATAGTTTTTGACCACTGGTTTTTAACCGATTTTATAATTTAATAATACAACAAAGAGGTTCTTTTGTA